TAAACTTGCCTTGCCTTGCCTTACTGAATTGAAATAGGATAAAAGAAAAGGTGTTTTGTGGATTATAACAGTAACAGGCACACTGTTTCCTCTGTTAAATCCCATTGGGTAACGTTAGTGTCTCAACACATCGCACAGGAAGAAGTTAGGAAGAAATGTAGTTTGGTTTGCTAAAGATACTTAGAAAAATTAAATAGACGTTTTTTTCAGTTTGATAATTTTATATTTTGTAGAAAACGATCTAACCGAAAAGTGATAAGAAATGTAAAAACATATACAGAGAGTCTCATGCTGGCAAAAATGCTACCTAGTTGAGTTTATTTACCCACTTGTCTACATTACATTTGCACATTTTAAGACCATGTGGCCGATTTGAGCATCATCTAAAAATATGTGACTGTATTATTGTCAATGTTTGTGTTTTGGATTTGCTCTTAAATAGACTTGCATTCTTTCCTGCTTTGTATTTCCACTGCTGTTTAACAAAATCAGTGCTGATACCTTATGGTCCAACATGCTGGGGAGGGACTTTCCTCTGTCCATCCTGGAGTCCCCATTCTGAAGCAAACACAGACACATTATCAGATCACCTTCAGTAACAGAAACGTCTTCATAACATGTGTGCAGATGAATGAATCAGACTATACCTGAAGATCTGTAGGAAGAGAGAGAAAATTAAGAAAATATCAATTAAAAAGGCTAGCAGGTAATGTGAATAAGAAACATATAGCATAGGCTACCAAAACATGTATGATGCAGGTTGAATTAAACGAAGACTCTGAACATCTAATAACTTAATGCTGACACATGTACTAATAGAATAAATACAAATAATACATAATATAAATCGATTTATAAATGATGATAAAGCGTTATGCAAACAAAATAAAACCACATTTAATTAGGTAATTTTGGAGAAACCAGCTCGAGTGCGCTAGAATTTGAAAATACACAGCCGGAACAAATCTGCCACTTCCTTACAGAGCCCCTCCTCCAACACACACGAACGCGCACATGACCAATGAGGGCACGAGATAAGTTTGTGCACAGATGGAAGGCTGACAGGCAGGTAGGCCATCCAGTTACTTTAGCCGGGCCGGCTCAGATGATTGGTCGTGCTTTTTACAGTACTACGGCTTCCAAAGATGACATTTTGTTGTGGATTTATTGTCAAAGCATTTAATATATTCATTGCTATCGGGATGTTAAGAGCATTCCATGGAATATAACAAAAAGTGTTTCTGAAATAAATTACATACCCCACCTTTAATTATTTTACTACTTTTTGGAAGGACATGTAAATACACTATATTCTAGAGCAAAGAAAAGTTTGTGCTAATTGTGCTGTGCTGATTTTTTACAGGTTACACAAGAGTACAAATATGATTGATCTGATGTGTATTTATCATGTGACTTTGTACCTGCAGGGGCTTTCTCCGAGGAGCTGAACTCTGCTGATTGCAGCTGAAAACAAACAGGAACATGTTAGTCACCGTGCTCAGTACACTTTGCTGTGATTGGACGATTGTGTTCAGCAGGACTCACCCTGGACAGGCCGCTCTTAGAGGATGCTGGGAAATACACAGACTTAGAGCCGTTGGACCCTGAAGAGGGGAGGTTAATGGAATGTGTTCAATAAAGTGAGCTTAAAAACATCAAAGGCTGCTTTCAAAATATTTTGATGGCTTTAATTTTCATGTAAAACCTTTCAATTTCTGCATTACCTTTAGCAACAACATTATTTGTAATATTAGTAATTAGTAATAATGTAAAGGTTCTGACAAAACAAATACGTGGAGTAGGGCTCTGGGTCATTTATTTATTAAGCTATAACGCAATCATTTTTTTATAAATAGTTAGAAATAAATATTTTCTTAATAAACTACAACAGTGAAATCCTGCTTTTACATTTAAGCATGAGTAATAATAATGAAATGATATTACATATAATAATAACTGTCACAGGGGACATTTTAATAATTGAAATATACTTACATACTGAATAATACTTTCAGAGCATCCAAGAACACTTTAAAATGTACACTCTTTTATGTGATGTTATTGTTTGTTTTATTTTGTAAGAATCTATTTGTTTTTGTTTGATATGTTCTATCTGTGTTTATGTTTAGATGCTGTTGTTTACTTCACTTGCTCTTTGTGTATTTTTATGAAAAAGCACATTCCAATTTTTGGAAAGGTGCTGTATAAATAAAGTGTATTATTATTATAATAAAAAACTAATTTAAAATATATTTTTTATTATTTCACCACAATATATGAAGTTGTTAAATAAAATGTAAACGCTGTACACAGATACAAAATAAAAATCAACTTTAAACCTCACCAACCTGAAAAAGTTAATCATTTTGTTGCATTAATTAAAGTAAAATGTAACGAATGCTTTTTAATGTAAAGTAAAATTCGGACTTTTCTTTGTTGACTGAAGTCATCCTGACCACTAGGTGTCACCACAGCTGTTTCTTGTTCAGACTAAGGGTAATAAACTACAGAGTATTTGTGTGTATGAGTGTTGGACAATGTGAACATTATGCTACTCTATCATTTATTAAAGGGCTGACTTGGTTTTAGGTTAGAGTTCAAAAGGGTGTGTCAGTGAGGGTGAGACGTGTGTGTGCTGTACCAGTGTTTTGACTGCTTTCGGGTAATGAGCGACTTTTCCTCCTCAGAGGAGTTGCAGACTTGTCCAGCTCCTCCTTGAGGATGATTTTTCCCAGGTTTGACTGAATCTAAAGAGAGAGACAGAAATATGTCTGATACATAAAGGGGACTGAACAAATACCACAAGGCTTTTATTTAAGTTACAGTACCAATGGCGGTTCTAGACCAATTTGACTGGGGGGGCCTTGCTGGGGCCAGTTATTTAATGAAAGGGGCACATTTAATGCTGGACAAGTGAGACAAAGACAGTATCAACATTTATAAAGTCATAAAGGACAAACAAAAACATAAAATACCATTATTTATTTTTTTGTTTGAAAACAGAATTTGTGTCAATGACTTGGTTACAATTTTTATTTTTAGTAATTAGTTCACCATTAACTTAAATGCAGTTTGGGGGAATAAATACATTACTTGTGCAGCCAAACGTTTTTATTTTATTCCTTAATATTTGTTTTAGTAACTTAGTTTCTATTTATTTAATTACATTAATGAAAAAAAAACCATGATTGTTATCTTAGGCCCGGGTTATAGCTCAGTATTGGCTGCAACACTATCACAAATGTCATGTGTTCTTTTGAAAGGGGGGCCACATGGGGGTCCAAGCACACTGGCCCTTGTTGGCCCCTCCCCCAGAACCGCTAATGTACAGTACCTTGTTGAGTTCTTGTTTCTGAAGCGCTCTCAGTCCCCACACCTCATCATCCTCCTCCTCCTCCTCCTCCTCTGCTTCCTCTTCCTGATCCTTCTTCCTCAACTCTTTCTCTAGAGGAGATTGGTCGGATTAATACATGAATAAATCAAAGATTTGTCTTAATATATCCGGAATACAGCATGGAGTTTTCAATGTCGTACCAATAACAGCCACGGAGGGGGGGCAGGGCCAGTACTCGGTCTCTATCTTGGAGGGCAGGTTGGGGTCCGGAGGCTGAGCTGCTGGATACTTTGAAGACTCGATGATCAGATCCTCGATGTGTTTCCCCTGAGGGAGCTGAGAGGACACACACACTTCTGTACACACACACACACACACACACACACACACACACACACACACACACACACACACACACACACACACACACACACACACACACACACACACACACACACACACACACACACACACACACACACACACACACACACACACACACACACACACACACAGCAGGTTAAAGCTGATTATATCCTGTGGAATCATGTCTTTGGTCTGCCTCTCAGATCTTACTTTATCATATTAGACACATTTTTAAATATAAGTAGAAACATTTTGCTTCTTGAATCCATTGTAACTTTCATAATTTGTCAGAAATGAAAGACATACTTTTGGAAATGATGCATATTAACAAACATATAATATATATACCTTATAATATTGATGCTTTGCTGTGGATTAAACTAAATGAATGAAGCAGTAATATATAATATAGTCAAACTAGTATGTTCTTGAATGCAGTACTTTTATGGTAGTGGACTATTTTACAGTCTGGTATTAGTACTTTTATTTTAGTAAAGCGTCTGCATTATTCTTCTACATCTGGCTAAAAAGCTCATAGCTAAAATCCTGAAGAAATTAAAAACACATTTTCCATTTCTTAATGTATCTCTTGTTACCTGCTAAATGTGTGTCAAATAAACAAAGTCATTTCATTTTGACTGACTGAGTTCTGAGGGGGTCACTTTCAGTAGATTTAAATGGCAGTACCTTGTTTGTAGATTGGAGGCTTTTTATAGAGGTTGGAGCCATTATCTGAAAGAGAGACAAGAAGGAGTACGGGAAAGAGACGAGTAAGAGGAAAATAAATCAGGCCATTCTTGCTTTATAATATAAACAAACAGCATGAATAAAATGTTTGATAAAGATCCCTTAAGTTTAAGTTTGGTTAATAAAGAATAATGCCAGCATTTGACAGTGTAAACATCAACCTCTCTTTGCTGGACCTTTCTGTGAGGAAGACTCTGTTTCTGTTACGCATCGGCCCAGACGCACTGATCTTTCTGCACAAAGATGAGATCAAATGTTTTGTTTGTATCAAATGAATTATATCAAAGTCATTACCTGGCCTGTGGAAGTGCTGCAGGGCGCCCTTGACAACAGAGGAGTGTACGGTGTGAGGCGTGTCTGGTGTTGGTGGTGTTCGTGTGCTGTGTGTACTGCTGGTCTGGATGGTGGAACAAGGGGAGGAACATCCAGGAGACCACTCCCTGGACTCCTTCTGGAAACACAGAGGAACACAGGAGTCAGACAGATTTTCCCACACTGCACTGCTTCTCCGCTCCCTTCACTGGCTGCCATTGGCTGCCTGAATCCGCTTCAACACACTGGTACTGGCTTACTGTCCTGTGAAGGCTACTGTCCTTCCTAGGATCTGCCTTTTGCTCTGCATCAGTCAATCAGCTTGCTACTCCTTCACTTGTTGGACCCAGGTTCCCTAAACTAAAACGCGCCTGTTTGCTATCCTGGCTCCAAAACTGTGGAAGAGCTCCCTATTCATATCAGGACAGCAGAAAATCTGCATATATTCTGTTGCAAACTAAAAACCCACCTGTTTCGCTTTTACCTTGGCCATTCAATTAAAAGTTAAAAACTGAACATTGAGCACTTCATCAGTTAAGCCCTTTTAAAACTGACGCACTGGCACTTACAATGTTTTTTTTTTTTTTTGAAGTGAATATAACTGCTCTTTACCTGTTGTGGTTTATTGCACTTATTGCAAGTGCTTTGGATAAAAACGTCAATGCAATGTAGTGAAATGAGATGAGGACGAGTGTGTTTGTGTGTGAAAATCAATATTCACATTTATCCATGCTATTGGAACAGAGCAGGTAAAAAGGTGTGCTGTCTCTGTGGGGGCCTTCATCAAACCAAGGTCATACAAATTTAAGGGGGCTTTATTTACAGAATAATTTTAAGGGGTTTTTCAGCAATGCTACCGTATATGACAATAACTAAATAAAAGCATCTGTTCATTATGTTCATCTATTCACTTCCTGATTGTCCCAACAGGTCTTTTTAGACTCGGGTATAACAGTGCTAGCTTCAAACCCTCAGATCATTTGTAGAGAGGAAGGGGTCTTACCTCAGGGGAGGGTGGAGGAGAGATGGAGCGAGGAGACAAGGACCTCTAAGGGAGGAAAGAACATATAAATAAATTAAAAACACTCAAACATATAAATAGATTCAGAAAAGCTGCACAGAAAACAACATAAAACCTTTGTTTTTCCTCGAGGAGACAAGAACCAACCGACAGTGTGTGGTAGTTGTATCATAAAGTCAGTTCTTTATTTGCTGTCCTTTGGAAGACATTAATAATTGCACTAAACAAACGTTGTGAAGGTATCATGTATGGCTCTGGGTAATTTGTGGCAGCCTTTTTCACTATTTTCACAGTTTTTACAAACCGAACATTCAATCAATGAATGGAGAAATTAGTCATAATTGATCCATTATAAAAAATAATCATTAGTTAAACATTTTAAATGAAAGAAAAGTACTGCTTTTACATTTCTGCATGAGTAATATTAATCTAATGATAACATATGTAATGGTTTAACGAACAGGTCCTTTGTACTTGCTATCACTTTATATCCCCTATCTTTTTGCATCTCATTCACACACACACACACACACACACACACACACACACACACACACTCCGGGTCTCTGTGGTAATGAGCTGTCTGGTTTCTAAGCAGCAGATTGATGCCTCGAGTCGAGCCAGACGCAGAGCTAACCAACCGACTAACTAAGCGCCTGTCACACCAGCGTCTGTCTGCTTCTAACATCTCAACATCCCATGTTGCATTATTTCTTATCGTCAGAAAAATCTCATGTTCTCCAACTATGATAGACCATGTCTTAATATTTAAGTCTTAAAGTTAAAGCCATACTGAAGACATTCATCTTTAAAAACATAAATATCTATTTATTTTTTTAAAGATTGGCAAAAAAACAAGAGATGATTTTTAATGATAGTAAGTAGACGAGGAGACAGACAGTAGAAAGAGGCCAGGAAAAGACTGAAGACAGGAGACAGACAAGAGAAAGACAAAAGGGACATAAGAGACAGAGAAGGACAGCTGACAAACAGGAGATAAAAGACAAGACTGTATGCGGATAAGAGAGTCACAGGAGACAGACAGACAGAAGTGATGCACACAGCTGGGACCGGAGCGCTTGTTGATGTTCGGGGATTATAAAGTTGGCTGCCACTGCAAACGCACCTAAATTTGATTATCATGATTCAGGATTCCTTCCGACATTATAACAGATCTGCTGTAAACCAGCTAGCTAATGTAGCTAACCTAGTTATTTCAAATATACTGACAATTTACTTTTTAACTTTTTTATATATCAAAATTATGAAACAGGCTAACTGTGCCAACACCGACAACTTTATTATACAAGAGCGCCAACAAGCGCTCCGGTCCCAGCTGTGTGCGTCACCTTTTATTGTCCCCGTTTCAGTTGTGTTTTGAGCTTCTTGCTGCGTTTTGTGTGTGCGTTTCGTTAATGCAGCGCTTTCTGTAAACCCTGCACATGTTTGGTTAAGTTTGCTAAAATGTTATGTCATTTGCGTTTTGGCACATTTGTGTTTTTATATTTGCATTGCTTTTAAAACTGAAGCGTGTGTTTCCTAATCAGAGTGTTTTGGGCTGTTGTAGCGCGATTGCACCTGTTGGCCACCTTACTTATGGCACAGAAGAAGAAGATATGTCAGGCTTGATTGACACCCAGTAGTTGTTAATGATACATTTAGTGTTGATTTGGGTTCCAAACATGAAGGAAGATATTGAATATCACTAGACTACAGTGAAAACAGGACTTCCCACCTCCAGAGGACTGTAGCTGTAGTGGCTTTGGTAGATCATCAGGTCTGGTCTCTCTATGTCCAGGATGGCTTTGTCTCTAGGTAACGCTGCCAGGTCCTTATAGCCGATAACCCCGTCCTCCACTCTTGCCTATAGTAAGAGAGAGGGGTTGGGGAGGGGGGGGCAGATTACAGATTACTGCCTCAAAATGTATCTAAAAGATGATATAGCTTGATTTGTGTGTGGTGGTGTATCTCACCACGATGGCCGCAGCAGGGGATCCTGGGACGCTGGACCCTCTTAGCGACAAGACACTCCCTGGAGACGTCTGAGCCAGCTGCTGCTCTCTCACACACACACACACACACACACACACACACACACACACACACACACACACACACACACACACACACACACACACACACACACACACACACACACACACACACACACAGGTCAGAGTTCAACCAAAAACTGATATTCCGCCAAATTGAAAAGGACTTTAACTAATGAAGGAATCGATCATTTAGGTTTCTGATTGGTCGAAAGGTTTGAAATCTAGTATGGCCATACTTTTGGCAAACGATCCAACAGTTCAACATTAAAATGTTAAATCATACAGAAAAATCCCACAATTTTACCAAAAGTAAAAGTCAGGTTGTCTTAAAAAAAAAAAAAAATTATACCACTGTCTGAATTGTATGTCTTTTATTTGAAAAATAGTTTAGACTCCATATGTTTGACAGTTCAGTTTATAAAAAATTATTGTTGAGGTCTAAATATGTCGATTTGCATAGGGCGATTACAAGACATTGCATGGACGATGGTAGTGACGTGATTAATATAAAATGTGCATAGACTTCTTCATGACGCTGTGTGTTGAAAGCCAGTCGGCATTTGAGATTGTCCTGACGACACTGATGTTGTTGAAGCAGAAATTGAGGAAAAGTTTTCATGGTTGTCTGTGGGCAACTTTGAGTATTAGAAACATTTCCATTTTGGTCAGGTTAGTTTTCTATATTTATTATGTGTATCTTTTTGAACTTTTGGTCCAAATAGCTGTCTAATTTTAATCACTTTAAACTGTTTTAATGAATCCAAAATCATTGTAATCTTTAGAAATTTTAATTATCCTAAATACATTTCAAATAAATACTGTGACCATTTTATCTGCACTGTATTGTCTTTATACGACTCAACATGGAATGACCCGTCCTACCAAAGCAGCATCCTTGACTTTGAGAAACACCCAAAGTCTGTAAAGTAATCAAAGTCCCTGACCACATCATATTATAACAACTAAGTTGTGTTTTAAGAAAGGATGGTTATTTGAGAAAAACATCAGTATCAATATCTAATTTTCTGCTCTAAGCGTAGTAGCGTGTAGGAACTAAAAATAGTAATCTCAGAGGTATTAGGCGGGTTCACACCGGAGTACTTTTCCCGTTTAGTTCCGTTAGTACCCCTTATGTTGCGTTCACACCAAAAAGAGTACTTAGTGCCGGAAACTTTTACCCCCAATTTTAGTGCCTGCTAGAGAGGTGGTACCAAAAAAGTACCAAAAAAGTACCAATTTCTATTGGCTGGGCGAATTGCAAACCACGCCCTGTAAAACTCTGAAAAGCGTTGTGAAGCCGCCATTGTATTTGTAGCATTAGCATTATTAGCATTAGCCCCGCGCACCAACAGAGAGAGAATAACTTATGGCAACACAAAAAAAACATGGGAGCGGTGGAGATGAGGAGGTGTCGGCGTTCTGGCGATTTACTCGGAAGGCTTCAGTAGAAGTTGAGTCTCAGCGGCTTCTACTGAAGCCAGTCCCCAACTCCGGGGACTTCCGGCCAGGGACTTCGGGTGGCAGTATACGCCGTGAAGTGGTTTGCGTCCTGCCAGTAAACCCAAAGTAGAAGAAGAAGAAGTGACGTCAGCGGCTTCATTTGCCTAATCCTCCTCCAGGGAGTTATTCCGGTGTGAACGCAATCTGTACTTAGTTCATGAGAACTAAAGAGTTC